TTTTTTCTCTGATTTCCTATGCGGGGGCTAGAAACGCGTTTAATTAACATAGCTGGCATGGCTGCATCCCTCTTCTCTTGGGTGCCGAGCAGACAGTCAGCTTTCACGGGCCATTGCGCACACGATACACGTATTACAAATATATATATATATATATATTTCTTTCTTTCTCTCTTATTCTTTGGTTTGGACTTAGCTTGGTCCGGATGTACAGTGTGGGTGTGATTTAAATGTTAACACGAAAATTCGAGATCGATGGCCTGCTGAAAAATACAACGCGGATGCATCTTGTACGGTCGTTAAGGATACATGGGAACATATGATGGGTAGTTTGTTGAACTTGATCCATTTTGCCTGTGGATCGAGTCAGGATTTATCACTCTGAGAGATATATTCTTTTTCGAATTTGTATTTGCCGAGTTTTTGTTCGAGTGTAATTCGGTAGAAAGATATTGGAAAGCGAATAATAACTGGATTTCTTTGACCTATAGTTTTAAATTTATGTATAAATATCTGATGCCATTTTATATTCTATTCATAATGAAACTGTGATTCAAAATCATATTACGAACGTGTATCTTATTTTGACTAAAAATAATAAAAATCCTTTCTAATACTTCCTAATTCTATCCTTCCTAATAATTGTTTATATACATGGATGAATGGATAACTTAAAAAAAAAATGTAAATGTAAATGTTTTTTAAATATTTATGATAAATCTAGTTAATATTTATGATAATCTAGTTAAAGCTTTTAAGGAAAAAATATCAAACATAACTCTAAACTTGAAAAATATAATCGCACTAAACGTTTACTTTAATAATTTGAACTGTATTTTTTTTTTTTTTTTTTTTTTTTGGAATAATTTTGGAATAATTTAAAAAATGAAGCGTTAACGTGATAACATTTAAATAGTACTGTACTATATGTAAACACATTTCCCGTTATGTATATATTCCGAAGGTGAATGCGCAGGCGTGTCTGCGCGTGAAGTGCCATGTGTTCTGTCCACGGCGGATATAATGCACGCCTACCACGGAAATGCTCTTTTTGACGGATCGGTCGACTAATTTGGTCGTTGTCATGGGGTATGCTCGAGAATAAATGGCGACCACCTACTTTATGCTACTGCAAATTCCTTGGAAATTCTTTCCCAGAACTCTCGTCGAAACGAAAAATAAGTGTTCTCTTAATTAACAGATTCGAATAGAAACAATAATAAAGTGCTAATGTTATTCTCTATTTGTTTGTCACTCGTATAAACGACTCGTAATTGAAAGTATATATCAAAAAAAAAAAAAAAAATTCCCAGTATTATGAACTTTGTTGATACATATATACTATTCTCGAGACACGTGCTACATCTCGTAACTTTCGTACTTTAGTATAGATAATATGATATTTATAATATGTATATATTTGTTTTAAGGTTAGATATTGTTGATATACAATAAAATAAAATATTACATTATACGCATTTATATGTACTTATATATTCAATACATAATAATGTTTATTCAAAAAATATAATACTATATCATATAATTAAACATTTTAACAACAGCAATAATAATGAATTATATGATATGCAGAAATCTTATTATATGATATATATGAAATCGTATGATAAAATAAAAAAAAATATAGGCACTTACTTGAAAAACTGAAGAAGTTGTCATAAATACTTATGTAAAGTATAAAAATGAATATTAAATGGATGTATTTAAGTAGTCAGTTAATCTTTTCGTATTTCCGATAATTAATACACTAATTATTACTTGTACACAACCTGACAACACTAATAATTATGAATAAACATGATTTTCTACGAATAAGCACAAGTTTTGCGCGCAATCTGCGCAGATCAACTGTTAACCTTGCCGCGCCATCTTGCGTAATAGACAGGAAACGACTTCAAATTTTATCGGCGTATAATCTTTCGCGGTAAATTTGAAATTATTTTACATTATTATACGCATAAGTAATAAAAATAAAATAATAAAAGTTTTTTTCAACTTTAAAATATATCCACAAAAAAGAATATTCAATGCGATCACTTTATTTCCAAGTTAATAATATAAAATATAGTAATCTCATTGATGAAATATTATAAACAGTTGTGATACAATTAAATAAATTGCAATTAATGGTGAATAGAAAAATTAATATAATAATAGATAATAACAATCGTGATCGTGATAATAACAATCGATATCGTGATTGTTATTAGAAAACGACTAGAATTATAAAATTGGAGTACGAATTCAGTAATTATACAAACAAGCAATTAAAATAATGAAAAATACAGTAATTAATCTGAAACAATTTCGGTAACATTTTTTAAATACCAATTTAATTAGAATATAATCAGTCTTTCATAACGGTTAACAACTACTAACTGTTAGATATATTTCTTTCTTTTATTTATTTTATTTCTTTTTTTAAATTATATTTTACTAAGATCTAAACATTTCTCTAAATTTTTTTGAAATGCATCCAACAGTTGCAACATTATTATTTGCAAAAAATTGTATTCTAAAAACATTGAAATGCAAACAATTATTAAGCTTGATATAATAAAATCAAGCACGCGAATTTTTGAAATTCTATTTAGACTTATTTTAAGGAATTTGAAAGGGGTTTTATTCTTGCCGCGTTAATAGCCGCAGCCAATTTGTGCTCTTCTTGCAGAGCAGATTCATTCATTACATTCTGGTATGATCTTGAGATTCTTTCTTTCTCACGAATCGCGAGATTCTGCCATTCTTTCTCCAAATTATTCATCAATTTTTCCCTTTCTTGGCGAGCATCCTTAATTACGAATCTTTCATCTTCGTGTACCCATTTTTTCCATAAAGCTTTTGCTTCTTCGCTAAAAACAATAAAAAGAAAAGAATCAATAAAAAATTATATTATATTGAAAATATTTTTATAAAGATTATTAAAATTCAAGATTGCTTATAAGGATTGCTTATAAGGATACTTAACGTAAAGAAATTTCTAATTTTTTTTCTTTTTGTCACCTATACAATTCGCATTCTCAGAAATTCCTATTTGCGATCTATAGAGGAACGAATGTAGGGCGTGCAGGATGACGAACATCTTGGCGTGTATTTACGAAACACTCGATGCGAGTAAGATGTACCGAGAGAGACGTGAATGACTCATGACTTTCGGTTGCAACATCGACGGATCTCGACTAATTCGAGAACCAGGAGGTGCTGTTCGTCGTCCTAGACCCTTAACATCGCTCACGGTCGCATACCGGTATTGCAACGAATCCGACCAGTCATGAATATTAAATTAAACTTGACAAATCGATTCAATATATTCATATAGATATATTCGTGGCTATAAACGTGATATTTTTAACTTGCAATTTATAAGTTGTTTAAAACTCACCTATACATCATCGAATCCATACAAATCTTCTCTCTTTCAATAAGTTCCGCTTCTCTTTTATCGATATTAACCAATCCTATCTTTCTCGCTTCTTCGTCCAATTCGAGATTTTCCATATTGTACAATCTCTTTTCGCGAATTAATTCCAATTTATTTCTCATATCTCTTAGCCGTAAAGCCTCGTCCCAACATTGTTTGTTGCACGCGTGCATTTCTCTTCTGGCAAGATCCTCGATCTTGCATTTCAATTCCTTGTGAGTCAAGTATAAAAACATCTCTTTTGAGAGATTCTTATCGCTAGGATCCATTCGCAGCCAAGGCAAACTTTTCTCAATTTCGAACTGTCGAGTGTCGTTCTTTTTTGTGTCTTGATATTCTTTCTCGTTGTGTTCCGATCTACGTGTATCATACGCGTTATCGCTTAAACGATCCGATTGTTTTAAGGAATCATTTTCATCATTTTTTTGAGGAGGAATAAATTCTTGTTGAGCAAGATTCTTTGGATTACCATCGCTCGAGGAAGATCTTTCGGTTATTCTCCCATTTTGAGAACCGTTTGATTTCGTATCTTCTGTCCTGTTCTCTTTATCGTCCCCACGAAGAAGAATTTTCTCGTTCACCAACTTTTCAGTAGAGGCAGTAGAGCCGTAAGTAAAAGACGACGTACTTGCTGCTCTGTTTGGCGAATCCACAAAATCGTCGTTTCTCACATTGGTATTCTCCAAACTTCTGCGAGCATAACGAGCTGAATATCTCGATTTAGGCCTCTCACTTTCAAAGCTCTGCGACGATAGAAGACTTTTTTCTTCTTGCCGCGTGTCTATATTTTCTTGTTCCTGGGAAGTTTTACTACTACTTTCGCTCATTTTCGTATTTCTATTATAAGAATTTTGTCGAATAAGGTTTGTCGACTCTCTACAGGCACGAGAATATTGAAGATTGGTGTCTCTAAGCGTATTCCAACCTGGCGCATTAGTTTCTGTGGGACAGACAAAATACGATTGATATCTTCGACAAGTTCTAGGCAAATATAAGCTCTGTTCCGCCCTTTTTTCTCTCAATTTTCGTCTTAATACCTCTAAAGAAATCTCTTCCGGCCGACTTTTTATTTTTTTTCGTTCCTCCAACTCCCTTCTATACGTTTCATCTTCCTCTTTCAAAAGATTTCTTAATTTATTCCTCCTGGCCTCTAGCCTTTCCGCTTTCTTAGTCTTCTCGAGTTCGCTTTCGCGATCTAAAGTCCTGTAATTCCACGAATCATAGTGCTTGGCGATTCGACACTCGCGCTCGAAGTATTTGGCAATTTGCTGATAATAATCGTACTTGAGACACTGCCGATTGTGTTTCTGCGCCGCTAACTGGTACTGCCTCTCTCGATATCGTCCCACCCTTTAAATGACAAGCTTCGTTGATGATCTCTTGATTATATTTTGAATCTGATAGAAATGAGAAGAATTCAAATAAATTTTAAATAAATACATTGACTACGACAACGAAACTTTATTCATTATTATTTAATCGGAAAATCATATTTTTATTATTGATACAATATTCTCTAGAAACAATTTATGCATATATCACGTCGCTATTATATCACCGATCCATGATCAATCGTTAATAGATCGTAGAGATTCGACCAGTTTTTATTCGTCAACTTCTTTCTCGCGTGACGATTGATCCGACCTTCGTGCGCACCGATCCGATCGGCGCACAAGTGCATCGTAAACAGACGTGGGATACGTCGTAGGATCATCAGAGAAGAGGCGTTTCAATCAAGAGAGAGTCACCGAAAGCATCCTAGAAGAAGAGGACCGTCTTCTATTTCGAGCTTTCGTCTTTCTATGACGTCACGCCGACGAAAATATCACGCGGTTAGGGAGGTGCAGTCGTGTGGCCCTGATGTGTGGTCCAGGTCTCAATCTTTCCCAGACTCCCAAAAATTCTCAATCACTTCGCTCTTCGATAATACTCTCCTCTCCACGAGTTCTCCACGATCGATCGTTCGCGGATCGAAAAAGGGGATCCCGACTCGTCACAGCTCTCCTCCTTTGATCCAACGGAACCGCGTGGACAATCCGGAAGATTTCCCGTGTGCGTGAAACATCTCGAGAGAAGTGGGTCGTGGCTCTCTCCCACGTAAAACCGATCCCCACCTTTTTCATTTCTGCGTCCAGGAGTCCGTCAGTGGCGCATCGTACACGTCCTCGAGAGGATCCTCGTCGTTTCGCACGGCTCTCGTGGTCCTTTTTTTTTTTTTTTGTACGCAACACCTTGTGCCTCTTGTGTCCACGTTCACCCACGGCAGGTGGATATCGATACGAAAGTCGAAATTAACAAGAGAAGAGAGTTGTGTGAGAAGAGTAAAGAAGAATGCCTGGTGCCGGTGGTCAACCACCGCAAAGGACCACCTTCCGACCACCCTGGGTCAAGGATGGTCCCTCGCCTTTACCTATGCCTAGTGCACCCTGGGCCCTCAATTCGAGAAGAGATTCGAAACCAAAAGTTGAAGAACCGCCTCCATTTACCCAAGTTACTCTCAAAGTGAGTTTTTTATTTTTTTTCTCCTCCTATTTGATATCATGCTCGTGTTCAATACATTCTCAAAAGTGATGAAAATTTTTTAATCATATTTGGGGATATTTTGAAGGGATGATGCGATAACAATTGCTTGCTGAAACAACAAAATTTGAATTTATTTTGTATGTAATATGTTCTATATTTTCGCTACTTGTTTACTTTCGTTCCATATAAATTTACTTTCATTCCTATTCTCAATCTTTAGAGATACTAACTCATTGTCCGATCCGATGCGTACTTGTTCTACTAGAAACATCGAAGGATGCTTGTGCAGTCTTTTTCCATTCAGATATTAGGTTTCAAAGTCACCAGAGACTTCACTATTAATAACTCGCGTGGGTGTCATGTAACAAGTTCTTGCGTTATAAACATTTCGACAGTAGAAGATTGCAAATGCGTTGCGTTCGAATTATATTTAATCGAGCGATTATTATTATTAAAAATACGAAATTTCGATTCGAGAAGATGTTTTAACGTTTTAATTTACGAAAATTTTTATCATTCACCCTTTGATTCTACTTATATAAATCATCTACGTCACTTATTCGACTCATTCTTGTCATTGTTTTGTTTATTTGCGTTTTTTTTGTCGTCATACGACAATACGATACGAAAACGCATACTTTCGATATTTTGGCAACGAGCCACGCGAAAATGGTGAACGCGAATGGATTCCTCGATTCGACAAAAATGCGAAAACTTCGAAGTTCCGAAGACACGTGGGAACGTCATGAACATTCACGTCACGATATTGTTTACAACTGTCGCGCTCAGTTAGATCATCGATTGATTTGAATGCAATTTATGAGAGATCCGTGATTCCATTTTCGAATCAATAATTTAAAGTAGAATTTATAGTTGAAAGTTTTCCAACAAATACGAAATCCAGAAAATTTCCAAAAATATCACTTTATTCATTCCCCTGCAAATCATGCGTTAAACTTTTTTCGAATCTCGAATTAAGTTAATATGGGGAGCATGCTTTTGCCTCTCTCTGGTAATATTGTTTAATTTTTTTTTTAACAATGAACAAATAATGATTTGATTTTAACGAATTGGCCGTAAATTATGAAATTTGATCGTAAGAAGAAATATTGATTAAAACTATCGAATTATTTGTATATGTTGCAACAAAAGATTAGATTAATATCACTTTCTCGATACGGGAGAGATCAGACAGAAGGTTAGCCTCTCAGGTTCTCGCATATAAGCCTCTGGGTCACGATTATTTAAAGAACACGAGTTTCTATTTCAAATGTCTTGCCAGTTGCGTCTTCCGCCAGTTTCTTAACGAGTTTATACATACGCTTTCGCGCAAATGATAAGTTATGCTGGATTTGCAAATTCTAATTAAAAGAATCTGAATGTATCGATAACCATATTATAAATTTTCCACACCGTAACTTTTCTCCTAAAGCAATAAATTAACGAATAAATGATATTTTTTTTTTTTTTTTAGAGAAGAGAAAAAGGAACACAATATCGTAAAAATAACAAATCAAAGTTTATAATTTTAAAACGATCGCAAAGGAAATGCGATTTAGATTATTTAAAGATGATCGCATGAACATTGATACTTGCCAAGAGAATTCTCGAGACTTTCTTTCTTTAGGATCGAAGGATACTAAGTGGGGGTGTACAGTCTTTTTTTTCTGTTATTCACTTTTCAATTCGCACAACTATCTTTCACAATACTATTCAAAAAAATATTATTTCTTTAACACGCATTGTAATTAAGTTTTACGATTATAACAGCCTGATCTAAGATATGAAAATTGTAGATGTAAGTGTTCGTTGATCGTAAACAATGAAGTGATTATAGTTGAATATACATGAGCGAACAACTGGCAAGAAAATGATATTAATACGATGAACGTAGAAATATCACCTGAAATAGATCGAAATTATTTTTATAATTTTTAAATATAAAAAAAACAGAAAAAAAATATTACGAAAATATAAAACGATAAAAGATGGTTTCAAAAATAGAAAAAAATAATAAAAAAAATAACATTGATAAAATAGATGTATGAAAAATGCAAAGAAGTTAAAATAAGATTGTTTGTGATTCAATTTACAGAGTGTAGCGAAACCAGAAGCGAAATCCTCGACAGATGCACAGCCGCGTAAACAGAGCAAGATCACAATAATCCCGTCACAGCCTAAAAGCGAAAAGAATACGAACAGTCAACCGATACCGGCGAAGCTCCGCGAGAATGGACGACAAGAGCCAAATTCGAGGCCACAGCTCGAACGACAGGTTCGAATCGAGAGGTCTCGATCTCGAGGTGATACAATACCACTCTCCAAGAGTGAGAACACCACAGGTAACAATCTCTCCGCAAAACCTTCCCAAACAAATCCTAAAAAGATAAAAATGTTGAATGTAATACGTATAAATATTATAAAATTATTAAATTTCTCTTACTCGAATCTAATTGATACTTTTAATCTTATCAGAATAATAATTACTTGATAAATATTTCAAATTACTTACCTCTACTTATGGTAAATTATCCTCTAATAAAAACATAAAAGAAACACAAATATTCATGATACCACTTGACCACGATAAAAATAAAGTTTTCTTATAAATAGGAGCGCCGACATTATCGAAAAGCTCATCGAGAGCAGCGATTCCGCCACCACCACCTCCAAGACCTCCACCACCACCTCCGAGTAGAACAATCCTGAAGGATCTTCCGCCACTAAACAAGAGCCAAGAAGAAAAGCTCGAAATGCTGAAACAGAGACCACGAAAACGTCCAGATTGGGCGAGTATGATGAAAGAAGTTGAAAGCGGAAAGACCTTGAAGCATGTGAAGTGCAACGATAGGAGTGCGCCCTTGATCGAAAGGGTGAACAAGGTTACAGCTGATCCAGCAGGTGATCGTCGATCGAACTTCGATCCTACTCAGATTTCCCTTGGGCAATACTCTTAGGAGGAACCGATTTCATCGTATTGGTCGATTAGTCGCTATTAGAAAACCTTTTGTTTTGTTACGTCCCCTTCAACCTTTCTACCCTTGTGAATGTCGATCCAAAGGGGGGGGGGGAGGGCCAACGAGTGTAATTAATTAAATTGTTAATGAGCTTTGATTCGATCACCTTTTGTTTCTGAACTGTGATATGACCTGTTTGTAGTACACATAATCATTATTGTTCTGATCCCCCAGTTTCCTACGAGGGAACCTTCCTTGTTTGTAGTTAAATAATATTATTATCGTTGAATTAACTGTTGTTTTCGTGTTTAGTGGTATCGACATCCTCTTTTATTTTCCTATTCCTGTATTCCTGTAAATGAACTTTAGAATTTGTTACTTTGAATACTTGACTTCGAAGATTAAATGATCAAAACGAATCATGAAGATTTGTTTGAAAATTGTCTCCGACTTGTATTATATTGTAAATGATTTATAATGTGATGTATAATCAGTTATATTGATTGAATATTTCTAACTAGGGAAGGCACATTTTGTGTTCGAATCTGAAAAATCGAACATGCATAACCAATTGCTGAAACAAATTCAGGAAGGTGTAAAATTAAAGAAAGTGCAAACTAATGATCGATCGAAACCGATACTAGAAGGTCTGAGAAAATTCCGAAGACAATTGACAATAGAGGAACAAATGCAAAAGGCTGAAGAACCCACGGATGACTCTATTTCTGATGACATGGATGATATTGATGCAGTAAGAGATGATTTACAAAGTACTAAACAAATGCTTGCTATTGAACTTAGAAATAAGGAAGCTTTGGAAAGAGAAAACAAACGATTACAAGTATGTTGCTCGAAACATTGTTAAGATTAATAAAAATAACAATTATTATTGATTTTCTCAAATGATTTTTGCAGGCAAGAATTTTAAATCTCGAAGCTGAATTCGAGCATGAAAAATCCCAAAAAAGTGTGCAAGAACAAAGGAAGTATGACGAGAAAATTACAGAATCATTAAAAAAAGAAACTCAACAAGCTAGAAAGGATGCCGAGAAATTCGAGAGAGAATATATCAATGTGTCAGAAGAAAGAGATAAACTCAAAAATGAATTGGAAGAAATGAAAAGGATGTATGCTGCTTTAGAAAAACGAATGAAAGCTGGTATGAACAGATTAAAATATGCAGCTATTCAAAAATTATTTGCATATGTCATATATGCAAAAATATGAAAAATTTTAATCAATCTAACAATGCAAATAACAAAAACTTTAATGAAGGATTTCTGATTTAATGTGTTTTTAGTCCTTCATTAATAGTATTGAATTGCTTATGCTTATACTAATTTTGCTTCTTTATTAAATGCTTTGCGAATTAGAGCAAGAGCTTGAGCCTGAGCCAATAATTGAACTAGCAGATGATGGCGACGAAGCAGCTTGGTACAATGTTTCAGGAATGGCACTGGCTGGATGTCCAAGTGCAAAAGATGTAGCAAAAATTGCTTCTCAAAAAAATATAGATAAAAAAGAGCCAAGTGAAAGTGATGAAGAAGAAGAACAAGAACAAGAAGAAGAAGAAGAAGAAAGCTCAGAAGAAGATGATAAAGATCCAAAAGCATCAGAGAAACGGTTACAAAGAGAAATTAAACTTTTGACAACAAAGATAAGAAATTTCAAGTAAGTAATAATTTATAAAATATAATATTATATATAATGAAAATTAATAATACTTTGATTAATAGAGATAAAGCAATTAATGCTAGAAAGGAAAGACATGCATTAAAAGATCAAATTAAGCAGCAACAAAAGTTATTAAAAGAAGAAAAAAAGAAGTTTAAACAGCTTCAAAAAGAAGTGGACAAAATGGCAAAGTTAATGTCAGAAAGCGAAGATGATGAAAAAGATGATGAAGAAGAAGAAGAAGAAGAAACAGATTCTGAAGAATCAGAATCTGAAGAATCTGAAGACGAAGAAACTGAAACAGAAGATGAAGATCAATCTTTGGAAGGTCAAAGAAATATTTTACAGGTAAATATTCACATATCATATATAAAAAATTAGATAAATGAAGTTGTCTTTATTTTATATATGTTTTGACAGAAACAATCTAAAAGGCATGAAGGACGTTTAGCAGCATTAAGGAAGGGTAACTATCTACTTAAAGCTCAAGTTGATAGATTAAAAGATGATTTAGCAAAACAACGAGAAGAAAGTCTTACTCTTCAAGAAGATCTTGACTCCGTGTTAGCAGAATTAGGTTAAGTTCATGTAAAGAGATCTAAGAATTATTATGAATAATTGTATACATACACATATAAGTATTACATATGAAAATATAGAAAATTTTATGTCTGAAAAACCAGACGTAAACTATATACACGCACACTTACCTAAACGCTTTTTGTAGAAAATCTTACACTTAAACAGAATTTTTATTCAATCAACTGCAAGATACATAGTTATTGTTTTATAGTATCGACTAGTAAACACGCTAATTTGTTTCTTTTAGTATCTATGGTAAATATTTTACATGAGTAACGAACTAAAACGGAAACATCAAAACATATTTATCGATTAAAACAAAAGACAGAACATAAATTTTCTACACAAGCTTCATATATTTATCTAATATTTTTTGCAAAAGTGAAAAATTTTGTATAAGATTATCAATATTGCTTTTTTGCTAAATATATTGTTAAATATTTTTTAATAAAGACAATTATTACTTAATGATAAAATTTCTAATAGGTTATTATATAAACTAAAACTATTAACATAACACTCACATGCTTGCAATTGAAATTAATCGACGAACAGATTTTTCCAGAATGTACAAGCTTTATTTTTCAACGACGATATCTTATTTTATTATTATAGAATACACAATAACATAAGTAACTATGTTTATTACGTTTTTAAAAATACTACAACTACCCGTTAAAGTAGTTTGAAAAGAAACGCACATATGACGTATCATAAAGTCCCTAGTAATGCTTCTTACATTGGCGTCGCAAACATTTTATTTGCATATAGTATATTATATTATGAGTATATTTTTATCGTTGTTAACAAATAATAAAATCTTTGTTTTGTAATTACATGTTTATTGAATAATTTTCTTTTTTTTTGCTGTATCGATATTATTGATAATACAATGAAAAAAGGAACCGAAATATTTCGAAAATATTTCGAAAATAAATGAGCGAATATAATAGCGGTATTTTTAAAATTTAAAATTATATTTGAAAATCAGAATATCACTATCGTTTCCTGTGAATTACATATTCTATACAGTAGCGTCATAGTTTTTGAACATTAATTGTATCTTAAATGTTTTTAATACCTTGTATTAATTATAAAAATGTTTTCGCCATAAACAATTTAATAGCGAGTGTAACGAAACTGATTACACTGACAGTTGGAAAAATATGCTGAATTTTAATACGAGCAGATCATGTTCTCTAAGATACATTTTCACAGAGATAATACAAATAATGTGAGATATTTGAATTATACTAACGTTAGTTTCAAGGTGCAGATAATAAATTCTTATTGCTTGGTATTATTATCAAATTACGTACAATAACAAAATAAAACTGAAAAGTAATTGTATAAAAAAAAAAGTCATATGTACATTCGTTTACATAAAAACATTCGACGTTACGTTTAACATACTTTAGGTCGAAAATTAAAACATTTGTATGATATACATGTTTTCAGTATAACGTTAATTATCTATCTAATATTATGAAATAGTATAATCGAATATATTTCATTGCGCGTTTCTGATTTTATAATTAGGGTATGAGTTTACAAGGTCAATAGGCTGTTTTAGTTTTGCGACTTTCAAGTCAATTAATAATCTTTATGTTGGAAATTTATCCAAACACACATACAAATAAATATACTCTTTTTTGTATTGATATATCGGCAAATAATATCGTCGATATAATAATCTGCTGAGACTTTCGCGAAACACGTCAATACTCATTTCTTTTACCCGCATTTATATTTTTACATCCATATAGAATTACAAAATAAATACTGTACGTTTGCTTTTTTTTAGCAATGCAACAGTAAAAATTTCCATATCGATGTAAGTATTACATTTCAAATTAATGGAATACTGAATATTAAGCGAGTAATGATTTTTTTGGTTGCAAGGTTAGTGAAACCTAACATCTCGTTTTTATACAATTTTAATATTAGGGATGCTAACCATTGCTATACTTCGATATATCTTAGATTCACCTAGTGCAGCTTTGTTTTAGATATTCTTATTTTAGAATCTGCATTACTTATTTAATATCCTGTATTCGTTAAAATATTTCTGAAATATGCACAGAGCTATCCAGGCATAAAGGAAGACAGCGTCTACCATAACAAAAAGCAAAAAGTAAAACATTTCTTGGTCATTTCAAATCATATACAAGCAGTTTTTTTCTGCCCAGACCGCACAGTGACATTGGTAAAACTGAATGTTATCAAATAGAAATCCTATACTAGTCAGGTCCATTTTCTTATATTATGAAGAAGCGATACAGTGCTAATGGATCTTTATGATAATATAATTATTAATTGAAATCCGATATTATATGCATTGTCTATCATATTTTATATGGTAACCGAATTGCACTTGCCGAAAATCTTCGTAACAAATACAAAAACAAAATGAAACAAAAAAATATTTTTTCACGTAACTTTAACTTCTACTTTAAACTTTTTTTCTTCTACTAACTTAACATCAGTTACATGCAAATTATGGATACTTTTTGCAGCAAACTTAATTACAGATTGAGTTGAAACTTGAGTTGTATGTCTGAGATCTAAACGTTTAAGCACTTTACATCTTGCCAAATGATCTAATGTTGTTTCTGTAAGTAATCTACAGTTTGCCAAATTCAATGATGCCAAGTTTGTTACTGCCTGTGCTGGTGGAGTTGCTAATTGAGCTACACCAGCATCAGTAACTCTACCGCAAGAAGAAAGATCTAATGTCTCAAGATAGGGTAAGTGTTGAACTATATATCTCAAAGCTATATCAGTTATATCACATCCAGCCAAAGACAAATTTTTAAGATGTTTTAGTCTTGAAGTTTTATCAATTAGACCAGGCCTCGAATCTGTAGGTGGACTGAGAACTTCTCTTAAACTTGAATCATTTAGTCCAGATACATGACTTAAATCTAAGGTAACAAGTGGTGGACAAGTGCAAGTTCTTAAAGCACAGACTCCAGTCCACGTACAACCTTGTAGAGATAATGTTCTGAGTTGTGGTAATCTACTTAATAGCCAAGCTAATTGTCTTTTAGTAACATTTGTCCAGTCAAGAGACAGATTTTCCGGTTGGCGGCGTATTATACCAGTTAAATGTAAAGCTGTTAGATGAGAATGAGACATATCCAATTTTCTCCACAAACTAGGATCTATACTATATCTGGCCCATGTACGGCAAACCAAGGCACAATTCGCCAGGTCCTTTGCATTTAAAAATCTAAAAATAGCAAGTAATGCTGTCTTGTCATATGCTAAAGATTGTCCATTAAAATCGGGCCCTGGTCTTTGAACAGGCGGAAGTGAAACAGGCCTAACCACCACGTGGGGCCTCTTCAATGACTTACTACTTGAACCAGTTAATTGTACAGCTAATTGTGTACGCAAAGCTGTTCGCTGTTCACCCTCAGCCGGTTCTCTGTCATTCCATGCCTGGAATTTTTTGTATATAAACCATGAATGATTCGTATTCTTAGACCGTTTCAGATTCCATTTGGGGACTTACATCGCTGGGATCGGGTCTTGAACGTTTACTTGGTGTAGTTGCCCTTTCAGAATCTGTTGTAGGTGCTGACGAAGCTGCACTAGATACTGAAAGTTTTCGAGCACGAGCCTTAGGTTGACGTGGCCTACAATCTAGATTCCGACCGCTTTCACAACATTGGGGACACTCCCAACTATTCGGTAAATCATCGCTAACGGTTATAGTTTGGGGGTCCAATCCTATACATTCAGGATGTACAATGTCGAAACAAATTGAGCACTCAACTAAACTCGATGGAGCTGTAGGTGTTGGTTTTCCTATATCAAAAATAGAAAAATGACATATTTCTAGTTATTCACTAATAATGAATAAATCCATTGAAATAAACTAATACCCATTAATGGTGCAGGTGGTTGGCCCCAGCCATCTAATCGACAGACTTTACAAGCTGCAGTAACTGGAAGCATAGGCCTCAAGCACTGTCTCATTAAACATGTTTGTTTGGCACGACCACTTCCACCAAATTTTACCATATCTTGACAATATATGCATTCTCCACAATCAGTTCTTGTACATGCTTCACATTTCTTACACCTAGTACGCCTCCGTCGCGGGAAAGCTCTTTCAGACTTTTCTTGGGAGTGATGTCTTTGTATTTTTGTAAAACTCTTCTTAGTTATCCTCATTCGTTCCTGTTATATAACAATAAAATAAAATATGTATAAATATTAAACAAAAAATAGATAATTAATATGATAAAATTTAATATTTTATATACCCTTTCAGCAATTGTTAAAGCAGGTGGAGGAGGTAAAACAGGATTCCCAGTCACAGCTGCTTCTGGATTATCATGTCTATGTTGTTCTACTAGACATCGAACATCATGAATTAAGGCAACAGGATCACGAATTAGCTCAGGCACATTCTTCTTAGTAGAAGGTAATGAATGTAAATACATAACTATTGCTTTTAAACCATGCAACTCAAATGGTGTTAGATGTATATGTTGATGATGCTGTGGCACTGAATGTTGACGTTGTGATTCAGAAATATCCAAGTGACTTCTGCCTAGAAGAACATGAACATACCTCTCCAAAACATACCTGTAATAAAGAAATCTCTATATATATGATATAAAAAAAATTTCTTTAGAATTATTAAAAAGTTTATCATACCATAACATTTCTGTGAAAAATGGATATCTGAATTTTTGTGGAACTTTTGTATGTTCTTCTACTTGTGCAACTTTCAATTGTTTTTCAATACCAAAACTGTGTAAAAAATTTCCACCAAATACTAAAGAATCTTGAGGAGTGTACACAGCATGAATCCAACCAGTTGGAATAAATAAAGTCATACCAGCTGTTAAACTTATTCTACCACATCTGTCTACCATATCTCCAAAGAATACATCAGATTGTTTACCACTCAATACCCATTCTTGATAGAGGCTCAAATTCTTTTCAGTAGGAGGGATAAGCCAAAATATTTTGCCACCTCTTAAAATATGATACCAAACACTAGTTCCACCAAAATCAACATGAAAGTCTGTATAACAACCTTTTACAGACATGAGACAATATTTTTGCACTTTTGGATACATCATATCTTCCAATAGATTTGTAGATTCTACTTGTGCTTCTTTCAAATGTCTTGGCCATACAACATCTACCCAATCAACTTGTCGTACTAATTCAGGTGATTGTACATAATTTTCTAATTTGGTATGGCTAAATTCCAATGAAATTACATTTAACAATCGTTCTTTATTAGAATCTTCATAATATTTTTGCCATTCTTTCATTGTCATATCTTCATTTTTTTGTGTATTGACATCCATTACATCCAATATTCTTTTTGAACCTAATAAATCATAGATAATGAATATTTTTCAATATCCCATATATTGAAGAAAACAAATATGTTGTTATAATAATTATAATACACAATTACAAATTAAACATACCAACACAAGTCCTGACATCATTGACAGAAAAATTTGAACTGGGAACTCGTAATCCCAATCCAGATTTATCTCTGAAGAGTAATGGTATGCTAAGACCATGTTTTTGCAAATATGCTAAATTTAGTTCAGAACCAGCCATTTCACGAAATAATCCAGTGAAATTGCTAAGATTATACCTATCACACTCGATTTTTTCATCGAGTTGAAAAGTCCTACGACCCTCGATTTCTTCATCGCCTATAGTCCAATCATCTGTATATAATTTTCGAGTTCTCTCCCGCTATAATAAAATTTACGATAAATATGAAATTTTTGGCAAAATTATATATAAATTTCATATTAAACTATTGAATTTAAAAATTAAATTAAAAAGTTATGTTTGGTTTGTTTACCAATTGACGCCTTTTTGGCAGAGAAGTAGAGTCATCGGCCATTGTCGACATGCTGTCAGAAACGTATCACCGAAAACTCATCGAATATTCAATGTATATTGTCTTTTAAAGGTTAAATTAGTTTTTTCAGTATTATATAAACAAAATCTCGTTTATTATTTACATGTCACTCACAATAGCCTGATATTAACATCGAACTTTTCTCTGATTTTACTTTCCCAGTAAAATGAGGTCGCCATTTTGTTGCCGGCCAATGCTACCAATAAAAGGCCATGAGAAACTTAAAATTATTTTATATAATAATGTGTTACATATAAATTAAAAAAATTTATAATTACAATTTTTTTATGATATATTATGTATTGATATACTTTGTAAGTTTATAATTAAATTATTATAACTTTATAATTTTTAAATATTTGTCAAACAAGTTATTAACAATTATCTAGAGATTTTACGTCATTTCAAAGAATTATTGATGTGTCCTATATTATAAGTTCTAGTAGTATTATATATAGTGTATAGGTATTTTTTGACAATTTAGAATTAAATATCGAATGTTGACATATTTATATGTAACACAGTATTTTAAATCTTTTATTTTCTTATGTAGTCTCAAAATATTAATCATTATTGTTTAAAAAATTTTTTCTTATATTTATGAAATTTTAAATATTTATTAAAGTGAGGAAAGTTTTAAAAAGTAAGGATTTCAACAATCAAGTTAACCATGACGAGTCTTCGTGATAGGCAAATAAATGCTTTAAAGTTAATGTTAAATTTGAATCAATCAGAACAAAAATTGGAAGAAGCAATACCAGTGTGGAAAGTATTAATTTATGATAGACTTGGACAAGATATTATTTCACCATTAATATCTGTAAAAGAACTCAGAGAACTTGGTATTACACTTCATATGCAATTACATTCTGATAGAGATTCTATTCCTGAGGTACCAGCTATTTATTTTTGTGCACCAACAGATGAAAATCTTGTTAGAATTGGTCAAGATTTACAAAATGGATTATATGATATTTATCATTTAAACTTTATATCACCAATAACTAGGCAAAAAATGGAAGATTTAGCAGCTGCAGCATTACTCGGAGGTGTTGTGTCAAATATTCATAAAGTATTTGATCAATATTTAAATTTTATATCATTAGAAGATGATCTATTTATTCTTAGACATCAGAATAGTGATGTTATATCATATCATGCAATTAATCGGGGTGAAGTAAAAGATACTGAAATGGAATCAGTAATGGAAATTATAGTTGATTGTCTTTTTTCTGTATTTGTTACTTTGGGTACTGTTCCAGTTATAAGATGTCCAAGAGGAAATGCTGCAGAAATGGTTGCCAAAATGATTGATAAAAAACTAAGAGAAAATGTTTGGGATACAAGAAATAATTTATTTGAAAGTGAAACAACTGGGCATTATAGTTTTCAAAGACCACTTTTAATTATATTGGATCGTAACATAGATATGGCCACACCATTACATCATACTTGGACTTATCAAGCATTAGCACATGATGTGTTAGAAATGGCACTAAACAGACTTGTTGTTGAAGAAAATGTAGGAAGATCTCCTGCAGGAGGAACACGATCAAAGACTAGAGCTTATGAATTAGATAATAAAGATAGATTTTGGTGTCAACATAAAGGTAGTCCATTTCCTAGAGTAGCCGAAGCTATTCAAGAAGAATTAGAACAGTATCGTACTTTTGAAGATGATGTTAAAAAACTCAAATCATCTATGGGTATTGACAATGATAGTGAAGTAGCATTATCTATGGTTTCTAATAATACAGCACGTTTAACAAATGCTGTTAATAATTTACCACAATTATTAGAAATGAAACGATTGATAGATATGCATACATCAATTGCAACAGGTATTTTAAATTTTATAAAATCCAGAAGACTTGATACATTTTTTGAATTAGAAGAAAAGATAATGAGCAAGCAAACATTAGATAGGAGTGTAATAGAAACAATAAGTGATCCAGATTGTGGTACTCCAGAAGATAAATTACGTCTTGCTATTATATATTATATTTGTACAAATATGTCAGATAATGATTATAGTAAACTTGAGTCAGCATTATCTACTGCTGGATGTGATTTAAATCCATTGATATATATAAAAAGATTAAGAAGTTATACTAGAATAGCAGAAATTCAGAACAACTATGAAGGTGGTGGAACAAAAACAGTTAGCATGTTTTCAAAACTAATGAATCAAGGATCATCTTTTGTAATGGAAGGAGTAAAAAATTTAGTTGTCAAAAAACATAATTTACCAGTTACAAAAATAGTTGATGAATTAATGGAATCAAAGCAATCATCTCAAACAGATGATTACTGCTATTTAGATCCTAAACAATTAAAACATACAGAACAAATGCCAAAGAACAGGCCAATATTCCAAGATGTAATTGTTTTTATTGTTGGTGGTGGAAATTACATAGAATACCAAAATTTAGTGGACTATGTAAAACAGAAAAGTGGAACTGGAATTAATAAACGAATCACATATGGTTCAACAACATTTATAAATGCGAAACAATTACTTAAACAACTTTCTCTTTTGGGGCAAGAAGTACATTCGTAAAATTTATAAATTATTCGATGAATATTGGAAAAAATATTAATCTTCTACTTTCTTATAGTATATAGTAATTTTTTACATTACTGTTATTGGCTCCTTGTAAAAATGTAAAATAAATAAAATACGGTTAATTAATTTTAGATATAATTTTTCTAATTATATATAACCTATCATTAAATTTATTATATGATTGAAATTCGAATATTAAATTAAAATATATATTACAAAAATCTAGGGATTTTTTTATATTAAAGAGACAAACTTGTATTTCAAATTGTTTGATCAATGCATTATACATGCATCTACTATCGTTTCGTCTTTTTAAAGATTAAAAATTCATTAAATATTAAAATACTTATTTTTATTAAAATCCATTTTGAAGAATCAAAATGACTACCATACAAGAAGAAATAAAAGATTTTGTTCGACGTGCTGTTATTGCAACAGATCCGCAAGAAGCTGTTAAGGAATATTTCTTGTCGAAGCAAGAAGACCGTGATATTAAGTAACGAAAAAATTATTTCATATAATTGTTTTTTGATACATTACAAGTATATTCTGTCTATTCTTTTATTTTCAGTTCGATAACAATTAGGAAACTGATGTAAAATTCTATGAAAAAGGTTGTGAAAGTATTTTTCTTTTATGATTTTATTTTATATAATTTAAAAAAAAAAAAAAGCTAATATCTCCAAAGATATGTGAATTGTGTGTTTTATGTATTAGAAAGTATCCTGAATGGGATAAGCCAAGAGTTTACCCAGCATTCGAAGTAGTAAGAGCGCGTTGTGAATTAGAAAAAACCGAAGCTAGATTACATGCGAAATGGTTGGAACAACAAAAAAAACGAAAGCTTATGGACGAGCAATGGCAGCAGATGAGAAATCAGGAATTGATCTTCCGGGAATCATTTATAAAATTCAATAGATTCGTGAAGGAAAATCAAGAGAAACGTGATCGTGCTGATATTAAAATTAAAGAAGAACGTGAACGTCAAACGATTAGACAAGAAGAAGTAATATATCATAAAAAAATTTATAAAAAATTATTATTTATAATATATAATATATAATATATAAATATAATTCTATTTATTTAGCAGAGAACATATTTTTCAGATAAAACAGATAAATGAAAATTTAAAACACATGTATGATGTTCGAGACAGAATGAAGAAACATGTACAAGAATATCAAAAATATTCACATTATTTAGACAGAGTTATTATCGAAACAGGAGAATTTCAATCAATTTCTGAGATTTTTAATCGATACGAAACATTAATAGAAGCACGATCAATTTTAACCGAACATCAAAATAAGAATCTTCAATTATTAGAAGAAAGAGGAACAGAAATGGTATTCTTTTAATATATATATATTATTATATATATATATTATTAATCTTTCACTTATAATAATACAACGAAAAAAATGAATATCATTTTTTTTATAGCATCATATGACAGAATCAAAAGCACAACAAATTCTAGGATTGAATAACACGTTGGCACAATTACAAGCAAGACGCGATAAAGCAGAAGTACAAGCTCGTAAATGGGAATCAATTGTTGCTGAAATAAAAGTAACTGCGATGGAAAAAAATTTGGAGCATACACAAGTGAAAACATGTTGCTGGAATCTATATCAACAAATCTGCAAGAAAAAGGATATTCCCGTAACTGTGAGCAAAGACGATATCGAACAACAATTAGATCAAATTAAACGAACAATTATTGAATTAAAATCGATCATGAAAATTGCAAAAAAACGTGTAACAAAATAAGAAACACAGTTTATTTGAAATTATTTGTTCAACTATGTGTAAATAATATTCTAAAGAAATAAAATATATTGATAAATATCTTATTACTTATTTTATAGTATTTTTACCAGTTTTATGAATTGCATGACTATGTTGAAGATTCAGCCGATTATCTTGTATGTAGTTCATAAATATTAATGATTGTGTATTACAGACTCTGTGTTACTATTTTATTGATATCGTTTTTGTATGATTTTTCTAGCTGCCGGTAAATGACAACCAGATATATTATGCAAAAGTTCTGAGTAATCTTCATCGAGTCTTTGCTTTAACTTTATAGCAGCTGCTTCGCGCGTCAATGGCTGTTCCAAACCTTCGGATACAATTTGTAATTCTTCTTTTTCGACGCATCTATACGATTTGATGATTTTTTTTAACAGGTATTCATTGTATTGAAAAAAAAAATATTAAAAAGAAACTTAAAAATATTTTTAGGAAAAAGAAGGATAATAAGAAAAGGAAATAGAGAAAAATAGATGGAATGAAAGGACTTACAAGGCACAAGGTTGAGTGGGAGCAATATATTCAATAGGAGGCACTTTCAATCTAGGTCTTCTTTCTTCGTCAATTCGCAATTGTTGCGTTTTCGTAGCTCTATCCAGCCAATATACTTTGTGGAACATTTGTGTAATTTGTTTTTCAATAATTCCTAAATATAGCATTACATTACTCATCGTTATCTGTTCATTATCGCCCAATAATCGTAAAATTGGAGAATTATCACAACGAATTGCTTTAAACAGAGAATCTATTCCTTTTAATAGTTTTTCTAGTACATCATCACACTGAAATATATAAAAATAAAAAAATTAGTTATTTAAATAAAAATAGCTCATTCATAATTCATTTCATAATTTGATACTGTAAATTTTAAGTATTCGAAAATTAATAAAATATAACCTGTGCCAGATTTTCTTCAGCCGCATCAGCAAGTGCGGTTTGCTGTTCAAGTTCTGTTTTGAGCTGCTCTAATGTCTGAGTTTGTTCGTAACTAATACGATCATTTAAAGTTTGTGCCTCTTGTATAGCTATTGTTAATTGATCAATTCTCGAATTAAGACTCTCCAATTCATCGTTTAATTCATTTACGTAACTGAACAAGGCAAAATTTTCTTCCTCTTGTTTGATAAATTTTGCTATAAGTTTATCATTATTTTGTTCACCTATAATTTATTATGAAGTTTTAGATTTCAGATTAAATTACTATTTTACATATTTTTATTTATCTTAAAAAAATTTAAAGGATCAAATTAAAAAAAAAAACAAAGAAACGAATCATAAAATTAAAAAGAAAAATAAAACATAATAATTATAATATTAATTATCTTATATAAATGAGAAATGTATCGGTACATGTAGTATGTACAAAAGATAAAGAAACTATAAGTACCAATAAATTCTTTAATCGTATGTAAAATATTCTTATAAGTTTCAATCTTGGATTGTTTATATTCCATTGAAGCTTTTCTTTCAGCTGCACGTTTTTCATTTAAATCACTCATTTCACGATGTTGTCCTTTTACACCAAGAAATTCTTGTAATTTCATTTCATTATCCATTGTTCTTTGTAATTCACACATTTCTGAGATATGATTTCTTAAGTCTCTTAATCCCCTTAAAAAAAATAAACATTCATTTGTATTCACAAAATTACATATTGTTAATCACTAACAAAAATGTAAATCGATTAATGATCTAACAAATAAAATATTAAATAATCATTGAAAGCAAGATTGTCGAATATACTATTGATTTCTAATCATATCCTCGATTTCGATTGATTTTAATGTAATATCTTATTTTGCATAAAATATGATTAATTTTCAAATTATTAATGTAATTCTCAGAATTATAGGAATAACGATTCAATCTTTCTAATTTTTCCAATTATTTGTTGATTAGCACAAAAATGTCATAAAACTTTTGATAATAGTATTAGTTTTAAATTTATTATTTTATAATAATTGGAAGTATAAATTATAGATTTATTATCTAAATTAATTTAAAAATTTCAAATTTACCTTTCACGAAGAGCTTGAATTTTATTTAATTCTTCATCCCTTTGATTGAATGCGATAGTAGCTTGTTCTACTAAATCATTTATAATTTGCTTTCCAGTATTTAATTGGTGAATTAATTTATTCCAAAGTGTTGTAAACTGCAATCTTTCTTTGAGTCTATCTTCAATTTCATCTCGAAGTTTTGTATTAAGAGCAACAGCAATGTTAAATCTTTTTGTTGCTACTTCAAGCCGATTTTCCAACATATAAACTATATTTTCATCTCGTATGTACATTTCTTTTAATTGAACGTCTGTTTTAATTTTTCTCCTTATGAATTCTATTTCTTTTGATAACTGAAAACAATATTAGTATTAATAATAATTTTTATCTTGAAATATTAATGCTTGAAATTAATATAAATTAATAAACCTTGCGAATTTCAACATCGATTTCTCCTATTTCCTGTTTTTCATTCTTTATCATTTCATCATATTGTGTTTGCGATATTAAAACACACTTTAGCTTTTCTTCCATTTTTTCTTCTTTACGAGTGAACGTTTTTGCGCTGGCAGTTTTAATACGAAGAACAAGTTCTGCCTTTTCATATTCCAAACGATTAATCATATTTATTTGTTTACGAAGTTGTAATTTTGCATCTTCTGCACAAACACTTCGATCATTTTCCATTATCCTAAATTGTCTTTTTAATCTTGAAAGTTCATTTTGAGCTATCGTCTCAAGCTCAGTCTCGTCTAACATGTGTTGCATTTTACGAGCCATTTTTAAGCTTTACTTTTTTTAATTATAACCTTTTAAAATATATAAATATAATTTTGTTATAATTTTTAAATTATAATTTATAATTTTGTTCAAATATCATTCTTATTTAAATTTTAAATTTTATTTTTTTTCAAAATGCAATAAAGACATGTTATATTTAATCCTCTATATTTTCAAATTTTATTTATTGAACAATTAATTTATAAATTCTTACAAATTAGATATATATACACTACTTGTTGTATAAGATTGTTTTTATCGATTGAGGTCTAAGTATAAAGGTTAATGTGACTCACTATTTGTTAAACATTTATGAAAAGTTACGATCAATGGATTAGAGATTTTTCCGGAAGATGCCAACGTCTTCGTTCATATCTTCCTCACTGTTCACATAAATAATCTTAAGGATCGATGGAGGAGTGGAAAACACTTTCCCAATGTAACTATTGATGACGTTCAACGAGTACATTTGAGAAAGACATCTGCCACCCTGTATAATTCTACCATCTGTGCGTTCTTGTTGATTCTTTCGGTTGCCAAGCACTCTCTCAATGTATAATAACAAGGATTTTGGTTTTTTACATGTTTAATGAAATGTTTTAAATGATTTTTTTATATAATATAACTTGTATAAAAATGATTGCAAAAAATTGTTAAATGTCCAAGAGAGAAAAATATGATTTATGGAAAAATTAATGTTAACTGTTAATGTAATTATTTACTTTTCCTCATAAAATTAATTATTTGGAAAATCATTGATATTAGTCAATATGTATGTCGTTTGATGATAAGTGATTTTATTATATTGTATATACATTTAAATTGATAAATATTTACTTAGAATATTTAATATCGCACATCTTCTAATATTACTTATTTTTTATTATATGTACACTTCTTCTTTAATCGTTTGATTACTATGCAGTTTGTAAAATGCTTTATAATAATATTGTCTTCTTTTTTCGTAAAAATACCTTTTTTTTTTTATATAATTATAGTGAAATTTGAATGATTTTGCACGAAATGAATATTTTCTAACTCTCGAAAAGATATAGACAATTTATATTGTGGTATTAAAATTGTATATAGTACAATTTGATTGTATTTTTGTTATATGACATTTTATTATATATATATTATAAATAATATAATGGACAAAATTTAAAAGAATTTTAAAAAATATTTATTTTAATATAATACATCGATAACAATAGAAAATGTAGGAGGATCATATGTTAAACACGATCCATAGATTTCATGAGATCGAGTCAGGTGGCGGTTCGACCAGGTGGGTCAAGTAGTGGGGATAACGTTAGTGGTGGGTACAGTCAAAGGAGAGGTTAGTATGCTTTCAGAAGGAAAGGTCGATAGGTTGATTGTTTCGTGTTCGTAAATCGTTGTACTTTTTTTTTATTTTCCCGCGTTTTATTTTGCTTATGTACTTATTATTTTTCAAAAAAGTGAATATCGTTTGTATGTTATGCGAGATATACGTAAATTAATCAAAAGATAAATCAAATACGATAATTAATCGCATCGGTGGCAATATGAACGACCAAAATTGAGATAATTGCATCGTGGATCGAATTTAACAGTGTGAGCGAACGTTTTCATAGCGGAACGAGTAGAACTTTCAACCGAAGCCTCGGAGGTGGGAGGATCTACCTGGCTGAGAAGCACGGCGCACGATTCCGTAATATTTATTTTCTACTGGCGGCTAGTGAGTCACTACCTGGCCGACCACGGTGCGGCGAGCTGGTCGCCTCGCGTGTCTGTGTCCTTTTACATGTGTTTCTTGCAAAAGTGAGTTTACAGTGACGCTTTGAACCAGTCAAGATTGCCGAACAGAAAGGAAATTCAAGGATAATTATTGCTGAAAAGAAAATCATTTTCGTTCGATCGATTTATATTTGAGCACGAAATACAAGAAAATTTCATCAAATTTAATGTATCTCGAATTTCAAACACAATCATTGACGTCACATTTATATAAGGACAACTCAAAACAAGTATCAGCATTTGTTACGTTGTGAAGATTTCATGGATATCCATATATATGTGCAATCAACAGACGCCACTATTGACTTTGATATATCAGTGTAGCATTGGATTCTATAATGCAAGTTAAATCGAAAATTTTATTAGCAGTCAAGTGCGATTCGTGCATCGATAGCGATCACTTATTTACGTGTTTGTAGTGAATAGTGCGATAATTTCTATATGTATGTTATACTTGGAAATAATCGTAAACAAAATAATAGAGAAGCTACATCTGAACATTATATCCATGTTGTTAATTTTGAAGCATGGTTACATTGTTGACTTTCTATCGGAGAAGAAGGAATCGTTGCTGTCTTTATGTTTGCGTGTAACAAGGAAACGGAGCAGAACAACGGAATTAGTTAGTCCCGTAACAATTCTCCTAGTTTTTCATGTTAGAAGATATTAATTTGACAATCGATTGATAACAATTATTAAATCGATCGATATTAACCTGCAATTTTGTCGCAACATATTTCACGCTGTCTTTGAATATTTTCAAGTGAATTGATTTTATGTGCGTGCATGCGTTGAATCGTGTATCGGATACAATTTATGAAAGTAACATATTCAATAAACGATTATATTGCTGAGTGTGATCACAGCTGATCGTTTCCGGTTATGAGATTTCACCGATTGACAAGAAAACCTGTTTGGATAATGCGTACGAGTTGGGACGAGAGAAAAAGTGATTTTTTACATAGCTCTTATTATCACACATGATGTGCAATTCATTTAAAAGTGAACGTTATGAATTACGAATGAGTGATCAATTCTTTTATTCTTTTAATTGCATTTTCGAAACAAATTTTAAATCAATGTGCGTAATAATCAAGCGATGTATAACCGAATATTTTTGATTCAATCGATAAGCGTTATCTTTAATCATATAAAAAAAAAGAATTAAAAATCTTGCTTAAACAATTTATATCATTTGTTGAGAACTTGATACACGTTCAACCTTGAATACCATATGTTTCTATTCTCGATTTATTTCGATAGAAAGAACATATTTTGATGACGCCAAGCTTCAAATGAAATCTTAGATATGTATTTATTTATTAATATCAATCAATCTCAAGTCGAATATCGCGGTCTTCAATTCATATTACGAGTTTTTTCGAGTTATCCATGTTAATTCGAACGTTACGTATTCACATTCGAACGTTATAAATGATTCTGACGTGTAGACATTTAGTCACCTGGTTTCACATGGGTCATTATTACGAACAATAATAAAAGTCACGCGTCAGCGTGACACGTGACATTAGAACGATAATTGACAAACGTGAAACAATTCGCGAGCACGATGTTACCAAAAAAGGACGGTCATCCCGAGTCGTATGCTTTAGAGGATATGATATCCGATCTCCAGGCGCGACGAAATTCCCTAGATCAAGAAGATCTCGAAGATCCAGCGGAACTTCTAAAAAAACGCGACAGAGATCTTGTTTTAGCTGCGGAATTGGGTAAAGCACTTTTGGAAAGAAATCAAGAATTAACTAGACAGAGCGAAGTCCTCACTGAAGAGTACTCGACAAAATTAGAGGTAAGTTTTTACGATTCTTCATTTTGATATTAATCTATTATTTTATTTCCATTATATTTGCTAGACAGAATTTTGAGCAATACACGCAACATAATTTGTTATCTATTATATCAATTTGCGTCGTGAAAGATAAATAAAATATTTGATAATCGATTAGATACGATTAAGATACTTGATGAATATACGATAATTTACTTGATGAAAATGAATTTATATAGGATGAAAAATTTATTTTCTTTTGATAAATTAATTTTCAATGAAATCGACGGTAATTGAAAGTAATACTAATAACAGTTCGTCGAAAGATTAACGGCAGATTCGCATTGCGTAAAGAAAGATTTTATTAGATTAATCATGGAGGCGTGGTTTGCTTCTATAGTTCTCACACGGACTGGTTACACACCGTTTCATTACGTTGAAAACTCGCATTAAGGGAGTCACCGTATCATCTCGTATTAATAGAATAAAAAAAGATTTTTAATTAATCTATAAATAGATTATATGACGATGCGAGTAAACGCGTAGAACGTTAAAAAAAGATCTCAGTTATACTAAGTCCAGATCATTCTAAAAAAGTAGTAATCTTTTACTACTAATTCTTATCATAAAAACGACCTTAACACTCTTGTGTTCATTGCGTATGATTTTGAAAAGGCGCGTATTTTTACGATAAACGTGTAATATTAACCTGATTATTGAAAATAAAATAAAAACTTTTTAGAACAAATTTTCATAATAACATAAAATAATATAATATAATATAATATAATATAATAATATAATATAAGTAAACCTTTAAAATAGATTTTGGATGAAAATTATTTCCAAATGTGTAACAATAACAACAATTGATAGTAAAAAATGGCTGTGTTGATAATCATTTATTTTGTTTCGAAGTATATTTTTAATCTGAAACAACCAAGTGAAACGTTTAGAGTTCCTGAAGTAGCCGACTCAAGCGATAACTTATTTATTAACCTATTTATAATCACTGATTCGTATTGCGTGTATACATCTTGAAAGTTTTCCTCACTTCCTCACTTTGCTAGGAAGTTTTCATGCTTTGTCCTCTGAAAAATAAAACGAAATAAAAGGAAAAAAAAAAAAAAAAAGAAAAACGAAGAAAAATGAAAGTCGAAATGTACATTCGCTCGCGAACAGACGTTTCTCCACGGATTTCGCTGGAATCGGGTCACGGGGCACGGTTCTGAATTACAAATGGACTTTTTACAAGCGTCATGATGGGGTCCAGATCGCGGCAACGATAAATTTATCCGCGAAAAATAATAGGAACGCTGACACTGAGAATCGTATCATCGTTGGTAAAATTACATCGTTCCCCGATTTCATTTTTCATCTCGTCGCTTTCACGTTCGAAACGATGCTTTTATTTTGAAATTAATGCCGTTACTTTTCACTTTCGATAACTGTGATCGATATGATATAGAGGAAAAAATGAAAAAAAAAAAAAAAATATTCGCAGTATGTTACAACGAATTGTCATAACATCGTTGGAAATTCCAGAATAGAATTTAAAAGTTCTTCATTATTTATAGTTTTATTCATCGTTGAATCACCCTCTCGTATGCATTACTTGTGAAAACTTCATTAACATCACTCTGTTAAATAATGCTCGAGCAATCAAAAGTTGAGGAAAGAAACTTGAATATTCGCGAAGTAGTTGAAAATATATTATAATCACGAATATTTCTATATTATATTTATTACTTTCTAGAGCATCTTATTTGATTTTATAATATCATTTTCAATCTTTTTGCATAAAATATTCAACGCGTGATCGTTGCATTTATACGCAATCGTTTTGAGATCGAAAAAATATAAAATTGAATTACTCGAGAACACATAATATTTCATTTAATCAATTCTTCCAATTATCTTTAAGAAGTTTATTAATCCTCTTCTTCTTC